ACCCATATTTTATACTATAAAGCTATGGGTACAATTCTTTTTATGCTTGTTGTCGAGTCTAAGTGATAAATTTGTAGTTTTATATCTTTTAAATGTATAGGTCTTTTTCAGCATGTCTTATGAGAGAAGAGGTATGGATTTGGGAAAAAGAAAAGGAATGAAAGGAATGAATCTCCAAGGGGATAAATGCTATTGGGCTTGAAAGTAGTATGCAAGTTTCTAGAGTACAGACATAACAAGCATCTGTGCAACCTGACTATTGTGAAGAGTCATATGATTTCAGTAGAACACAAAATTTTCTTTCAGTCTCAGCAATCAGTGCTCACTGTGTGTAGTGGAATTCCTCTCTAAAGGTAATTCCCAAGAGCACCCCAGATTTGTTATAAGAGGATTCCACTGTACTAATTAACAATCTGACAGGGAGCAGAAATACAGGTGGAACTCTTTGCTGACTACGTGCTTCAATGGCTGAATAAAATTTTTAAAAATTAACAAAAATCCATTTACCTACTTCTTGCCAGTAAAAAGAAATTCATTTAGGAACAACGTCCTTCCTATCAAAATTCTTTTCTGAATTTGTACGTCAGTTGTGTATGACTGGAAGTATGCACATGAATCTTTATCTTCATGTCATCCAATTATAGTTGTTATCAAAAGAGTATTATATGCACATCTAATCCAAATTTATTCTTTTTCAAGTTCATATTCATGGGATCTTGGGAAAACGTGGTGTATGTGGGAAATTCCAACTTCAGACAATTAGGTCCACACCTTACAACTTGTGAGTAGAAGTAGAAAGAATCAGTGAAGGGTGAAAAAAAAAAGCCCTTTACTTCTCCCTAGAACACCAACAAACAAACTGTTTTGCTTATTTACTAATCAACAGAGCACAATATTAGTCAAGCTTATAAGAAATCAAAGTTTACCTCTAATCCAGGGGAGTAGATACTTTATTAAGACGATTCTGGAATCTTCTAACTTTTGGATCAAGTTTGCCACAAGAATTTTTTCCCAGACATGTATTATTTCCCTTTTCATTTTCCTTCTGAGTATCCTCCTAATTTTAAGATCCCCTACTTGTCACACTGCCCTGGTTTCTTAGACTCCTCCAATTGTTAAGGACCTAAGCAAGACTAGTCTTTTTACGCTCCAAACATACTGATCCCTTCCTCTCATAAAAATCTGTCTTATGATCCAGTCCCTCAAACCTCTACTTTTTCACTATCTACTTAATCTAATGAATAATTCTATCTTTGACATTCGTTACTGATAACAGCCTAATTTTTATCCTTTCTATATTACTTGTGCTATTTACTAGTGGCCTCAGTGCCTTAATCATTGTATGCACTCTGGGAAGTTCTGTGAAAGAGAGTTTGGGCACTGAGAAATACGAGTTTTAGTTCTTCCCTGTCTACTTGACCTGGGATGAATCACTAGATCTTTTGGAAGCTCAGTATTCTCATCTAAAACTTAGAGTACTACTAATTTCACAGAAGAGTTGTCAAGTCTAAGTGATAAGTCATAGGACTTGCAAAATTCGGAGACAATTGATATTAAGTATGTGAAAATGCTGAACAATTAAAAAGTGCTATACAAATATGTGAAATCATTATTATTATTACTACTATCATTCTAGTTAGTTTTACATATCTCCTCATATAGATAAAACTCTTCAGAAGGAAAATGTACTAAAAATATAACTTTTAGTAACTCCTGGGAATTTTAGGAAACCTTTCCCTACAGGAGTCTTTCTTTTAATTTTTCTTCTATTTTAACTAAGAAATGATGACCAGTTACATAAAGTCTTAGGGGAGTCAGCTAATGATGGGCTGGTCAGTATTGATCAATAAATAAAATAAATAAGAGATCTACCAAGGAAAAAGAATAAATGTCAGTAAGATATTGAATGTTAAATGTCTGTCTTAATTATCTTTTCATCTTTCCATTATGCTCACATGTTTGCTTAATACTTTCAAAACAAAATAAAATTTTGAAAATTAACAAAACTATAGGAATTGTGAAATTAAAAAATCATTGATATTGAGTCTTTATGGATCATTGATCTAAAAAAAGTATGTACTATATTTATGAACTAAAACAGCATAAGCAATATCTGATGCTTCATATTTTCTTCCCAAGATTTTCTTTTTTTGGTTCATTTTTAATAATCATATTCATCTGACAAATCCAGCTTAAATCTTCACAAGATGTAGATATATTAAGAGACCTTCCAGAACACAGAAGAAGGAGGAGGAGAGGGAAATTCCAAAAGAATGACTTGCTTACTTGAGGGAGGATAAAAATGTAAATCTAAATGTTGCCTTGACCTCACTCACGTATTCACAAAATATCCATGAAATATTTTAAACATACGTTAAGCCACTGGGGAAAAACGTTTCCAAGAGTTTGTTACCCACTTATTAGTATCCAATACCCAACATGGAAAGTTAGCAAATAGAGACAACATGTGTTGAAACTACTCTAAATGGTTTTCAACATTTGTGGCATGTTTATGTTTCTGCAGGATATGACTCAAAATTTGAAATACTTTACATTTCTTATGGTAATAGAGAAAAAAAGTTCTCTTTTGTTCCAATTTGCCATGAAAATTTAAATAAAGCCACAATTTTCTTCTTGATTTACCAAAAATACAATCCTAAGAAATATTATTTAGGGAATTTGCATCTAAAATATCATCAATCTGATAATTTTTTTAAAGAAATCCATGTTTTCTTCATAATAAAAGCAGCTACCATCTAGAAATTATGTTCAGGGTCCTGATATTAATTTATTATTCATGTATTATTTATATTCCACATACTTTCAAAAAGAATTAAATGGTTAATTTGACATTAAATAGAATTGTAGAATTTTTAAACATTCAAAATCTAATGAATGATAAATGAAAACAAGTAAAATTCACTTAGAACAAATTTTGAACAAATTTTTGCATTAGGAAAGCACTATGTGAGCACTGTGAAAAGAAAGCAAAAATCTCTCAAGGTTGGTTTGAAATCACTCAGAAGAAATTTAACCAAAAAAGCTAATTTCTCTTTTTTCCCTCTTTGGATTATTAGGTATTATTAAGTAAGCCAAATCCTATGGATAGGATATAACTTGATTTAGGAAAGTGATTAGAAAAAGAATCTAATAATATCCTTTTAGACATTAGGGAGAATATGGGCTTTGGTGGAATTCACATATGACGAAACAAATCTTTGCAAAAAGTGATGAATAACAGATTATCATAATCTGAATGATGACATGCTTTTATCATCATGAGATTATGGAGTCATACTGAAGTTTATGAATGCCAGAAAGTTCCTTACAAAAAAGTTAATACAACCCCAGATCATAATCCAAAGATTATATTTGTACCAAATACATACCCCATTATATCCTCTGATGTGGGAGCATTATTTGGAACCCTAGGTTTGGTTGTGGCATAACCTACACTTTATAGGTGACTTGGCAAACAAGAATATATTCAGAGAAAGCATCAGAGGTATGAAGTCTTTGAAAACTACATAATGTAAAAATTGATTGAAAGAACAAATTGTGTTTTGGCTAAAAAATTCTCAGATGGGACATGCTAACAGCTTCTAATATCTAAAGATCAGTTAAGAGGAAGAAGGATTGGACTCAGGCTATTGTCTCAGGAGTAGAACTAAGACCAATGGCTACAAGTGGTTGTGAGGAATCTAAGAAAATGTCTAACAAATAGGAATAAACTGCTTATAAAAGAAATAGAAAGGCACCAGAAACATCAAGAGTGTGCAGTAGAAGGGAAATTGACTAGTGCTCAACTCATGACCTCATTGCTCTTTTAGCTTTGGGACCTTGGTCCAGTTACCAAGCTTCTCTGACTTTCTGTTTCCTTATGTATAAAATGGATATCCTTGCATTGGATGAAGGTGGGACAACAGCTCATAATATTGAGCTAAGGGAGAGGAAAGGCTGAACTAGATGGCTGCCATGATTCTTTCTATTTCTAAGGTTCTACCATTTTAAGTATGAGAAAATATATTTTTCATCTCTTGGTGAGAAATTATTGTGAAATAATTTCATTCATTCAACCTACATGTATTATGTGCCTACTATATGCAGGCACTCTTCAAAGGATACAGAAGTTAAAAAAAGTGCACAAAAATTCCTACCCTTTTAGACCCTATATTATGTGGAGGGAGACGGACAATAAACAAAACAAGTAAATTATACAGAATGGTGGAAGATGATAAGTACATATAGAAAAATAAAGAAGAGAAATTCAAAATTTAAATAGGGTCAGGGAAGCTTCAATGAGAAAGTGCCATAGGAACAAAGATACATTAATTTCATCAGTAATTTTTAAATTAATTTTATTATGAAATCCATTGGAAAATGTGGTGCCTTCAACCAAATCCTGCAATCCAAATAATGTAATCTCACCAGAGAGTGTTATGGGCTGAGTTGTATCTCCCCAAAATTTATACGTTGAAGTCCTAACTTCCAGTTCTTCAAAATGTCACTGTATTTGGAGATAGGGTTTTTAGAGAGGTAATTAAGTTAAATAAGATCATTAGAGTGGGCCTAATCCAATATGAATGGTGTTCTTATAGGAAGAGGAGATGAGGACACAGACTTGTGCAGAGGATGATGACATGAAGATACAGGGAGGGAGAATACGGACATCTGCGAGCCAAGAAAGGCCTCAGAAGAAACCAACACTGCTAACACTTGGATCTTCGACTTCTGCCTCCAGAATTGCCAGACAATCAGTTTCTGTTGTTTAAGCCACCCAGTCTGTGGTGTTTTGTTACAGCAAAGCCCTAGCAAAGTAATACAGAGAATATTGTAGTATATAAACCCAGGCTAAATATTAAGCTTAGGATAATGCAAGATTGCATAGTCATTTTTATAGCAATTCAGAATCCTTTTCAACTTTATATTTAGAATTTATATGTAGATTTCAGTTTTTCTATTTATTCTTTTAACACTAAATTGCATTGAAAATCTGAAACCTAATGGTTTTCTCCCAATATACTCTATTGAAAAGATATAATTATATGTACATAAGTTATATGTAAACTTGAATATGCAAAACATTTATTTTAATATCAAGATACGTGTAGTTAAACTTATTGACGTTGAAGACGGCAGCTCATAATCTTTTAGAATGTTCAAGTGCACAAACAAGTAGTTAATAATACCAGAACTTAGATTTTCCCACCTCATTCAAATCTTCCCTAATTTTCAAAAGAGCTTAATACAGCCCTGCTGTGTACCTGTAATCAAGATGGCCACCTACTCATATAAGCATGACTATGTGGGAAATCCTGGATGTGAATTTTAAACTATTCTTTAATTTAAAGAATATTGTTTCCTATTCCTTTCTAATCTTTTTAGATTTTCCCATTAGTGAAATATATATTAGTTTTAGAGATGAAAAAAAAAAGTAAATGGATATACTTACAGGTCCCGTTAATTTAGATGCTTTCTCAAATTCTTCACTCTCTTCCATTAGTGCTTCTTCAGTCCCAGGTAAAGAATCTGTTTTTACAAAAAGAGTGAATAAATTATAGTTACATATTGCTTACTAATTCTCTGATACATAAACCCATTATGAGAATGATATTGAAATGACGGAGCGGGTTGTCTTTTTTTTTTTTTTTTTGGCCACACAATTTAAGTACCATTCTTTTCTCTCTTTCAAATGGGATGGAAAATTCTGCAAAGTTTGGAGAAGGGTGCGTATTATCAAGTGGTGGCAGGTTTTCCATTTTAATGTATCGAGCAAGAAGTTTTGATTACTTAGCTTGAATAGACTGAGGAGTGGGTGAGTAGTGACTTTCAAATATGTGAATAAAATTATGGCAATTCTTTCCATATGTCTGCTGAGTTAAATTAATTATAACAACAAGGATTTCTGAGTTATAAGGAATTCTGCAATAAAGATAGATATATGGAGCATCTTGAAATAGTCTGTATTTTAATACCTTCTACTCAAATAAAAAAATCAGTTAAGAGAAAGGTATTTTAAACCACCAGAGACTTTTAAAATTGATTTCTCATATTTATTAATATTTGAAAAAGCCACATGAATCCCTAAACAAGATTTTCCTTCAGATTCACGTACATATGGACACAGATTCTTCTGTTGCATAAAATGCGTGCTCCGGGAAGAAAACCAGAGCATTAAATCCTTCACACCCTTAATGGCCACCCAAGACCAGAGAGACAATGGAAAGCTTAGCACAAATCCACAGTCATAGCTTTTGAATCATGGAGCTCTCTCTGTCTCTGATAATTCAGAATTTTACATTCAAGATGAAAAATTACTAAATCCCAGGGCACATCGTTCATCTAGATGTAAATGTAGATTTCGTTTTAGAACATGGAATTCTTTCCACCATAAAAATTACTTTGGGAAAACCACATACATTCTTAAGTTGTAGATGAATTTACAAATGATACCTCCCATCCTTCCGAACAGAACACAGACATTAAAAAGAAGCCAGTTTTTGTTCATAAAATCAGGATAGATGATGAGAATTACACCAATTCAAAAATATTAATACATTTACAAAGAATACTTGAACTCCTACCTACTAAAACCCAGTTGTAAGGGTGACAATAGACTCTTTAAATTAGGATGTATAAACTGGCACAATTCAAGTCCTCCAAGACTGAATCATGTTCTACACAACTGTGAGCAAATACTAGTGTAATTTTAGCATTCACTCAGTATTTTTTCTGTTTTTTGTGTTGAAATTCTTATTGAGTAGAATATTGACTTAATAAATAAACAATATTAAAATGCTTTATTCTACATTACAAAGCAAGTTATTTCACATATAGGAGAAGAAAATCCACCATCTAGTGGATTTGCTGATTTATTAAAGTTAGAAATACTATACTATAAGTGAGTTTTCAAGTTCCTCTCACTGAGCAGTTAATGGTTTTAAAGAGGTATTGTCACTCTGTTTGACTGTTTTTGCATGTATGTATTAATCAATTCATTCATCCATTTATTTGTGTATTGGTGTAGTAATTTATTCAACAAATACTATATGCCAGGCCCTCTACTAGGTGCTTTCAAAACAAGTTGAGCTAGATAATTTTCTATGACATTTCCTCTCTTGGAATTTACTTGAACACCTTCACAGTATTAATTTTTTAACAAAAATGAACATTTATAAAGGGAAAGTGTTGGTAACTTTAAATGGTTTTACATTCTGTTCTGTTCCTGTTTTGGTTGAATTCTTACTGGATATTGGTGTCACATCCAGTGAGATCTATAATATGGTAAAGTCCATTCAGCTTTGTGTAGAAGGACAACTATGAAGTCCAGCCAAAATATTTGTGAATTTACATAACTGATCATATTAAAAGTTAAGTTGAAAGGACTCTGCTAAATAGTCTAAATCTAGCGATAGAATACCAATCTAATAAGCTAGTAGAGAAAACAGGCATCATGAAAGTAAAACCTTAGTGTTTCATGCTTGGAAGAGTACATTCCATTTTTTTTTAAGTATTCTGAGTAAATTGTTTATTAATGATGATGGGTGAGTGAATATGTGTAAACTATTTTGCTCCACCTACTCCAGAGCAATCTCTTTTGTAAGTATATATGATTTTAAAAATACGAGCAATGAATTCTCTGAGCTTTTTTTAATCACATGGAGGGGAAAATGAGTCTCTAAATCTGTCAAATATTAGAGTTTACCTTGTCTCCTCATTTTAGAGATGAAGAAACTGTAGTATAGAAAAATAAAGTAATTTTGTTAAAATCTGACAGTCTCTGGCAGCACATGGACTAGAAACTTCGCTTTCATGGTTGACTGGGTATGCTGGTAGGAACCTAGAAATCTATAGAGTTTACCACAACGCATAGCTTTGTTCAACTTCTTCTGGGGTCATTATTTTTCTTTTTGCTGTTTGTGTCACGACAGGTTTTTTATGCACAAAATTACCCCTATTCATAGAAATATTTATGTTTATTGAGCCAAGCTCAATGTGGATACACAGTTCTCATAAAAATTATATTAGCACTTTTGGATAATGTTAACAATATTCAATTATTGGATTTAGTGATCTGACTAACTTAAGTGGGAAAGAATGTACTTAATCAGAAACTATTATTTTGGAATTTACTGATTAGATCTACTAATATTTGAATATAAAGAATGCAGAATATAAGCAGTTCAAGAAAGGAGTTTAAATTTAATGAATACATTTTTTTCCCAGTGGATGCAAGTAAGTATAATCAACAACATATTAAAGTGCATCGTTTAATTTTTCAAGAAATGTAAATCTCTACAATTCTTGGGTTTTTTTTTGTTTTTTCTTTCTTTTTTTTTTTTTCTGTGAGGAGATCAGCCCTATGCTAACATCTGCCAATCCTCCTCTTTTTTTTGCTGAGGAAGACTGGCCCTAGGCTAACATCCATGCCCATCTTCCTCCACTTTATATGGGATGCCACCACAGCATGGCTTGCCAAGCAGTGCGTCAGTGCGTGCCTGGGATCTGAACCGGCGAACCCCGGGCCGCCGCAGTGGAGTGCGTGCACTTAACCACTTGCGCCACCAGGCCAGCCCCTATAGTTCTTGGTTCTTATGTAAATGTGATTGCTGAAGGATATATAGTATCCGTAAACTGGTGAATTCGAAGAGTTTTGAGAGAGTTAAAGAAATAACGGGTGAGGGACCTGTCCGGTGGTCTAATGGTTAAGTTCATGCGTTCTGCTTCGGCAGCCCAGGGTTCATCATTTCAGACTTTGGGCACAGACCTACTCACCACTCATCGAGCCATGCTGAGGCGGCGTCCCACATACAAGAGTTACAACTCTATAACTATGATATACAACTACATACTGGGGCTTTGGGGAGAAAGAAAGAAAAAGAAGAAGATTGGCAACAGATGTTAGCACAGGGCCAATCTTCCTCAAAATAACAAAAACAAAAAATAACAGGTGAGTAGTTAAATAATATCTGTGTTGTGTCTAGTTTTGTACCGGGCGTGACGGGGAACACAAGAAAACCTCAAGAAGCGTATAAACCAACTGAAGTGAGAAGAACAAACACACAAGAAATAATTCAAAAACAATGAGGGGCTGAAAAAAAGGAAAACATTAGTGTAGGCTGGACATCAGGGAAACCTGACTTGATCCCAGAACGTCGGATCTGAATAGGCAGAGGAGAGAAAGAACTTACTACAAGTCAGGGAAGAAAGGTACACATAAAATAATATCAGTGAGGAGATACAGCAGATGGAGGAGTGTCAAGGAATGGAGTGACACATTGCTCAACTTCCACTGTCAGTGTTTAAGGTCTGTCGTGAGAGTGATCCGTGTCATCAGTACTACGAGAGATTTGAGTATATATAAACAACTCGTATCATTTCTTTGTATTATGCTGCACTGGCATTGGTTTATATTCCCACAGCACTTTATTTTTTAATGTTTGTTAGGTAATATTCAACACATAGAAAAAAGTATATATAAAATATATATGGATAACAATATATATATAATATTTAAGTTACAAAGCACAATGGTAAAATAAACACCCCAAACCCACCACCTAACTCAAGCATTAGAACATTTCCAGTAACTTTCATATACGTGTGAGCTCCTTCTTATCCCATCGCCTTGTTTCCCCTACTCCCGGAGGATAACTACCATTTTGAGTTTTCATTCCTTTTTTGTAATATAGTTTTATCACTTATGTATGTTTTCCTAAAGAATACATTATTTAGATTTGCTAGTTTTGGGCTTTATAAAAACGACATTCTATGACTTGCTTTTGTTCAATCAATGTTATGTTCTTAAGACTCATTCAGTTGTGAGCTGCAGCCTGCTCACACCAGATTGAGAGAGCCATCTACCATTTCAGATTGGGTGCTTGAAATCAGCCACAATGGGAGTATTCATATCATGGAAACCGTCACTCTCTACAAATCAGGGCTTTCTTTTTCAAAGAAACAGTTGTTAACGTTCACCAGCACACCGCTGATTTCACCCATCCTGTGTGTGTAGTTGAAATGCATTCAGGTTCCTACAATCTAACAGTTCCGCAATGTATCCATTTTCCTGTTCAGGAGCATACCAACAAGGGCTGCTCATATAACAAGGGCTGTTCACATTTCATGGTACATAAGACTTGTTTCTCTAAGACATTTACCTAGAAGTGGAGCTTCTAGATTTTAGATTAAATAAATGCTCAAGATTTTAAGATAATGAAAAACTGTTTCCAAAATTGTTTATACCCCACCTTTAGTGTATGAGTTTCCTTTCATATCTGTCTTCACTAGCATTTGGTTTTGCCAGATTTCTTAATTAAAGCCAAACAAAAGATTTTAAAACAGCATCTCTCGGTGGTCTTAATTTGCTTTTCTTTGATTACTGGAGTAGTTAAGCATTTTTCATATACTCATTAGCCATTTGTGTTTCCTCTTCTGTGAAATGTCTGTTCATATCTGTTGCTTATTTTTCTACTGATTTGTTAATCTTTTCTTTATTAAATTGTAGATGTTCTTTATGTAGTCTGAATACTAATCTTTGCTCAGTGACAAATATATTACAAATATATTTTCCTATTTTGTGTCTTATTTATTCTCTTTTTCTGGCGTCTTTTGATGAACAGGATTTCTTAACTTTCTATAGTTGAATTTTTCCATTATTTCTTTTATGGTTAGGAATTTTATGCGTCTTGTTTAAGATGTCCTTCTCTATCCAGAAGAAAGGAAAATCTTTTCCTATAATGTCCCTTCTAGTTACTCCAATGGGATGTACCAACTGCTTTCTGCTAGAACACTGACTGATAAAGCAGTGATCTACCTTAGATACTATTGTAGTGGTATTACATGTGCTTATTTATTTATTTTTTATTCAGCAAATGCCCTGACATGAACTTAATATGCTAAGTTAAGGAGTCTGAATTTTGTCCTACAGAAAATGGGGGTGAAATAAACAACTTTGCTTTTTAAAAGATAATGAACTAAATAGGGGTGAAATAGTACAAGGAGAACCTATTTACAGGGCTGTTACACTTGACGGAAAAAGAGGACAAAAGTATAGATGACACAGTATCGGGAAAATGAAGAGGAGGTTGGCTTGGAGAGGAAATTCTGTGGTGCCATTGACATGATTTGAGACTAATTTAATATAGGACTGAGAAAGACAGAGGGCAATCAAGTATGATATTGACATTTCTTCCCAGGAAGACTGAAGGGATCTATGATGTGAGAATGGAAGTAGGGAATATGAAAGTCTAAAAACAAGTTGGAATTAGTGACATAACTTTGGGAGTAGCCAATATATAGTTGACTTGTTTGTACCTTAAACAGGCATAGGCATTAAGAGGCTGCTCCTCAGAATCCACACTTCTTGCTTCCTTTTTTCCTTTGCCCTTAACCTCCGGACACACACAGCCTGAAGGTGTGGTGGACATATGACGGGCAGCTATGGTGATTTGATGCAGGGGTAGATGTTTGATTTAATTTCATTTTTTTTTAATATTCAAGTGCCACTAAAATTACAATAAATATTGTTGGATTTATAACTTACCCAAAGAATCTGGGATTATTTCATCTGGAGAATGAAGTATTTGTGATGTCTCTTCTGTCCTTTCTGCCAGATTGTCTCCTTGAAGCCTAAATAATTAAAAACAGTCATTGAAACCTTTAATAATGTTGAATTGTGAAACGTGAACTACATATTATTGGGAATGGGATTATAAACTTCTAAACTCTAAAATCAGACATACTTCTTCAAAGTAGAAATAAAAGTTTACTAATGCCTTTGTAATAGTATATGGTTTTGCTTTTCTAAACTTTAAGGAAGTCTTTCATCTTTTCTCCTGTATACATGGAAAGATTAGTCTAGGTAGAATCTGCTTTTTCTTAGCCTGATTGGAGGAAGATTTATAAGCAAATGGTTTCACTGAAACTACAACAGGGAAGTGAGTGGAAGAAAAGCAAGAGTCCAATACACTGTGCTCCCCTGACTTCTGGGTCCAGGGGCATGATCACATAGAGGGTTTCCATGATTACACAGAGGTTTATCAAACATAGTTCTGGAAATCAACCAACCTGAGCTTAAAGGCCTGCCAGTCAAGATGGGTCTCAATAGTAGAAGTGGAGATTCCTAATATGTGTGACTGCCCAGGGTTCTCATAGACACTGGGTCTTCAGGAGAGGAAGATTGCATAGGTACTTTTATGGCAATACATTTCCGAGCTTCTGTATTGTCATCTCTGTAGTGAGAAAAGTGGACTAGCAATATCCAACTCAAATTGTCTGGGTTTGTATTACACTGTGAAACCACTCTATCAAAGGGAGTAGAGCTCATCAATAAATGTTGGAACTCTGTCCAAAGAACAGCAGAATAAGCTCCGCTAATGTTGGAGGAGACCATACCAAACAATCCAGAGATTAGAAGTTTCTACCATGCCCTTACTTTTTTCTTGTATTTAGCTGATGGCAAGTGCCCTCAGAGGAAAGTATTAATAAATGCATAACATATAGCATTAATATTTTTTAAAACTATGAACTCAAGTACAGTTCATAACTGTACCAAGCTCAAAAGTTAAAATTTTCAACTACTTCATATCTTTGCTTTTATATACCACAGTGGAATCACATAATTTGCATTTGACTTTTGCATATTCAAGCATACATACATGTCTCTTTCTTTACCTTTTGTGCAATTATAAATATTGTAAATTATATTTTCATTTTTATTCCTATAAGATTCTGCACATTTCTGTATATATTATTCATTTATACTTACATATTACTTTCTGTTCACAAAACCATATTTACTGTATTGTATAAGCTAATTAAAGAATTCTCAAGGGTAATTTCCTGATAGTCATGATGCTTTTTGGTCAAATATACGATTTTATACTTTCAATTAATTTTTTAAAATTTTACTTTGAAAAAAACACTACCACTTTTTTTGTGCGTGTGTGAGGAAGATCGGCCCTGAGCTAACATCTGCCAATCCTCCTCTTTTTCTGCTGAGGAAGACTGGCCCTGGGCTAACACCCATGCCCATCTTCCTCCACTTTTTATGGGATGCCACCACAGCATGGCATGACAAGCGGTGTGTCGGTGCGCCGGGATCTGAGCCAGCAAACCCTGGGCCGCCACAGCGGAGTGCACCCACTTAACCACTTGCGCCACCAGGCCGGCCCCCACCACCACTTTTAAACGAATGATTTAGCCATTTACTTCTCAAATCTGCCCAACTATTCTTCTTATTTTGTTTACTTCTAATAATTAGGATAACTACTTCACTAATCAGAATGTCAAATACTCTTTTTTGAGTTTTCTTTGTCTAAGATCATTTCATCAAAATTGTCAAAGAGAGCAAGTATGTAGGTACATGAGATATTGAAAGGTGTGAATAAAAATTATTATTAAAAATTGACAATGAGTTTCAACACATTTGGGTTTTTAACATTAGGTTAAAAACCTAAATGGAAAATAAATTTCCAACAAAAGCAGAAAGAAGCAAGAAATAAAAACTAAGTTGTGATTTTTTTTGCTTATTCCGAGCTTCAATAAAAAGAAATATTTATTTATCATTTATTAATATGCTCTGTAATAAGCCAAATGTTGTAGAGATGTAAAGAAATTATAACTGCCCCCAATTTCACAGAATCCTCAATTTAGTTGAGTGGAAAAGACAAATGGCCATGAAAACAACCCAACAAATTGGGTGGCCTTGAAGCTGGCTCATCTTTGTCCAAACACTGCCCTCCAGATACCTCAAGAGTTGAATTTACCATGACTTGGCACGAACTCCATTGTGGAATGCTTCACAGCCCTGCTATCCTTGAGCGCTCTGCCAGTGTTTCCCAAACTGTAATCCACACAGCACCACTTCTGTAAGAGGTTAATAGGCGCTATGCAAACAAGGGTTGTGTGGGCAAGTCCGGAAAATACAGCTTAATAACAGTTAAACCACTCTTTTGGTTTTTTACCCTACAAGAGTTTTACTCAGATTCCTAACCCTTTTCTCTTTGCTTTCTAAAACTCCTCTTCCATATTAAACATTCTACTATGTTCTCAGCCCCTAAACAAAATGTTTCCTGCTCCTCCTTGTCATAACTGAAACCCTTTTCCAAGAATATTACATCCTTGTTTTCCTCTAAGAATATTACAGTACTTCCTCTCCAAAGGAGGCTGCCAACCCCTTGACCTCAGATAACACAGGATTATAAATATTAACCTTTCTTCTTCTGCCTGTGAAGACTGTGAGGCTTGAAGTTTTCTTCTTCAACTCAAGTCTCACTATTATCCGGAATGATTTTCATATTCATGTGCATCTACCCACTAATTTCAAAGGCCCTCAATCTCAAATCTGGAGATCTTCCCTTCCACTTCACCTTCCCTAACCCAAGGACAGAAAACTCAGAACTGCTCTGTGACAGAAATCTTTTTTTTTTTTTTTGTGAGAGAGATCAGCCCTGAGCTAACATCTGTGCTAATCCTCCTCTTTTTGCTGAGGAAGACCAGCTCTGAGCTAACATCTATTGCCAATCCTCCTCCTTTTTTCCCCCAAAGCCCCAGTAGATAGTTGTCTGTCATAGTTGCACATCCTTCTAGTTGCTGTATGTGGGACGTGGCCTCAGCATGGCTGGAGAAGCAGTGCGTCGGTGCGTGCCCGGGATCCGAACCCGGGCTGCCAGTAGCAGAGCGCGTGCACTCAACCTCTAAGCCACGGGGCCGGCCCCTGTGGCAGAAATCTTTAAACGCAATGTTCTGTTCTCTGACAACAAGCTCACCTCCTTAAGACTGTTTCAAAAACTTACTCTCCTTAACACTTCCTCTTCAATCAAATTTAGGTCTTCATTTTCCCTCTATTTTCTCCCAGGTATCTGGTCTCTCCTGGTTCCCTTCCTGCCCTACTCAGCTGGGATTTGCTGTCTGCTCAGTTCCCATGCACCCATGTCTTTCTGTCATTACTGTCCAACCAGACCCTAACCCTGTATTAATCCCTCATTTTCCTGCACATGTGCAGCTGAACAGTACTAGAGAAAATCATGACACTCTAGGATTGGTGAGTACAAATCAATGGTCTCCAACTTTAAACTTGGGCTTCTTGGTTGTCTTTTTTTCTTCCAATCCTTTCAAAGTCCTTTCAAAAATATCCAGAAAAATTATGTAATTATGAATAAAGACCTTCTGCTCCCCTCACAGCACCTACAGAATTATTTTCACCTTATCTGTACACCGAAAACTATAAAACATTTCTGAAAGAAATTGAAGAAGACACAAAGAAATGGAAAGATATTCCGTGCTCTTGGATTGGAAGAATTAACATAGTTAAGATGTCCATACTTCCTAAAGCCATCTATAGATTCAATGCCATCCCTATCAAAGTTCCAACAACATTTTTCACGGAAATAGAACAAAGAATCCTAAAATTTATATGGAACAACAAAAGACCCCGAATAGCTAAAGGAATCCTGAGAAAAAAGAACAAAGCTGGAGGTATCACACTCCCTGATTTCAAAATATACTACAAAGCTATAGTAACCAAAACAGCATGGTACTGGCACAAAAACAGACACACAGATCAATGGAATAGAATCGAAAGCCCAGAAATAAACCCACACATCTATGGACAGCTAATCTTTGACAAAGGAGCCAAGAACATACAATGGGGAAAAGAAAGTCTCTTCAACAAATGGTGTTGGGAAAATTGGATAGCCATATGCAAAAAAATGAAAGTAGACTCTTACCTCACACCATACACAAAAATTAACTCCAAATGGATTAAAGACTTGAATGTAAGACCTGAAACTGTGAAAGTTCTAGAAGAAAACATAGGCAGTACGCTCTTCGACATCAGTCTTAGCAACATCTTTTCAAACACCACATCTGACCGGGCAAGAGAAACAATAGAAAAAATAAACAAATGGGACTACATCAAACTAAAAAGCTTCTGCACAGCAAAGGAAACCATCAACAAAACGAAAAGACAACCTAACAATTGGGAGAAGATATTTGCAAACCATACATCTGATAAGGGCTTAATCTCCAAAATATATAAAGAACTCATGCATCTCAACAACAAAAAAACTACCAACCCAATTAAAAAATGGGCAAAAGACCTGAACAGACATTTCTCCAAAGAAGATATACAGATGGCCAACAGACACATGAAAAGATGTTCAAAATCACTAACTATCAGGGAAATGCAAATCAAAACTACAATGAGATATCACCTCACGCCCGTCACAATGGCTATAATTAACAAGACAGGAAACAACATGTGTTGGAGAGGTTGTGGAGAGAAGGGAACTCTCATACACTGCTGGTGGGAGTGCAAACTGGTGCAGCCACTATGGAAAACAGTATGGAGATTCCTCAAAAAATCAACGATAGAACTACCATATGATCCAGCTATTCCACTGTTGGGTATTTATCCAAAGAACTTGAAAACACCAATTTGCAAAGGTACATGCACCCCTGTGTTCATTGCAGCCTTATTCACGATAGCCAAGACTTGGAAGCAACCTAAGTGCCCATCAAGGGACGAATGGATAAAAAAGCTGTGGTATATACACACAATGGAATACTACTCAGCCATAAGAAACGATGAAATCCAGCCATTTGTGACAACATGGATGGACATTGAG